TTTCCAGCGCTGGAGAGAACTCAAGGAGCGGAAGGCCTTCGATCGGACGCCGAGGTTGCTTTGTTTCTTCTCGATAGGTGAGTAACACCATGTCTACAAGCGCCGCAACAGCCAAAGTCTGTCTAGTACACTGGACGCGAAAGCGACCATTGAAAATCATTTTAAATTTGTGTCAATACATCATGAATAGAACGCAACAGCAGTTTTCTGTCGGGGATTTGTCATGCCGCACCGCATCCAGTAGACCATAGATATGTATATATATCTATGGTGTAGACAGCATCACTGATTATAATGAGTTCTATAGTATTTTGTCACGCCGCGCCGCGCCACTCGTGTCCGGTGTAGACACAACATTGGCTACCAGAAATCGCTTACCCCACCTTTAAGCTATCTTATGGGACCGTTGGAATTGTGCTGATGCCCTCTAGTGGTTCCTGGTGCCCTGGTTGAGAACCACTGCCCTAAAAGATCTGAAGAACATCACCCCGAGAAAGATCTTGCCCACCTCACAGGAAAAATTCACCTGAAAATGAAAATCCTGTCATACGTTCCTCAAACAAAGCTATTGTATGGCTTTAGAAGACTTAAAGTGTAGTATGTAAGTCATATGAATTACTTTCTGAAGGTGCTTTTTGCCACCTTTCTGCATGGAAAAGAGCAGCGCGAACATTCTGCTAAACATCTCAAAGGAAAAAAGTCATTTGTATTTGGAACAACATGAAGGTGAGTGAAAAGTAGGATGGATACATTATAAACTATTTCACTATAAATATTAACTGACATTATGTTCGCTCAACTGATTTGTTGAAAGGTCAATAATAGTATTCAATCCACCGCTACTGGTTTCACAGCAGGCAGAAAAATGGAAAGTGATTCTCCAGTGAATCCCCTGAGAGTTAAATGATGACAGAAGTTTCATTTTTGAGTGAACTATCGCTTTAAGGGACACGGCAAAAAGACACTAGCCTTCACAGGTGTCCAGCCACTCACAAACTGTAAGCTAGTAGCAAGCTTAAGTGAAGCGGCCTTGAGCTAAGACTGTCCGGTCGAGCAGTTGACACACACACACACTGAGCTCTTTGCTTTTATGTAGACAGCCATCAAGACATTCACATCACTCAAATGCCAATAGCCCTGCTCAGACACTTTTCACAGGCAGCTCTGCCTCCATTATTCCATTATCAAGAGCAGACGAGGAGGAGAGGGGAGCCACTACAGACAGATAATGTATCCATTTCCTTCCATTTAAGCTGCTTGCAGAGGAGTGGAAAGAGAGCACCCTGATTGGAATCGAATGGACATTTAAATGGCCGCGACACCAACAGGGAGCGAAAGAGAGAGAGACAAACAGATGGACTGAAAGAGAGAGATGAAGGAGCAGTTGTGGGAAATGAAAGAATCAGTGGTAAAAAAAAAAAAAAAAAAAAAATGCAGCTATTTGTGTGATAAAGAGGGTTTTTTATAAATCAAAGTCAAGGATCTCTTGCAAGGTGCTTTTACAGGGCGCATGAAAATCACTTGACGGGCACAGTTTTCTTTCCTGTTCTGACATATTTCATATTAAAACTGGAAGTTTGAGTGGGACTTATTGGAGAACTCATCACATTTTAAAAAAATATTTTTACATGGCTAATAAGCTAAAAGGCTACGCTGCAAACATGATTTTTATTTGCTGGATGGTGACAGGTGGTATTAGGAGGTGGGTTATTTTATTGTAATTATTTGATTGGACAAAAATCTGTGTAGTACAGGATGAGTCATCAATATTTTTGTTCTGTTTTCTTGTAAGAGTACTTACATTAAGTGCTTTTTATTTTTATTTATTTTATTTATTTGAAAGAAATTAACATTTATTCAGCAAGGATGCATTAAATTGATCAAAAATGACAGTAAAGACATGTCCATATATTTTTTAAATTTCTATTTCAAATAAATGTTGTTCTTTTGAACATTCTATTCATTAAAAATCCTAACAAAATGCATCATGGTTTCCACAAAAATAAGCAGCACAAATGATTTCCAAACTGAAAATAATGAATGTTTCATGAGCAACAAATCAGCATATTAGAATGATGTTTGAAGGATCATGTGACACTGAAGACTGGAGTAATGATACTGAAAATTCAGCTTTAATATCACAGGAATAAATTGCATTTTAAAATATACTAAAATAGAAAACGTATGTAAAATATATTACTGTTTTTCTTGTATTTTTGATCAACTAAATGCTGCCTTGATGAGCATAAGACTTAAAAAATAAATAAATAAATAAATAAAAATAAAAAATTTAAAAATCATACTGACCCCAAACTTTTGAATGGTAGTGTATATTCACTATAGGCTAATTTATCAACAGCGAGGAGTACATGGTTTCAAAGCTAATAAACTGATTAAAACCCACAAACATTTTGATTATAATGGAGTCTTTAAGAAATAGATTAGAAGAAATGACAAAAAAACATAGGGCTTTTACCTTGTAAGAGCACTCCTCCATTCTTTCTGAAGAGTGGACTTCCTGGCCATAGTGGAGGACTGAGGGTTATAAACACAGAGCGAGAATGAGAGAGAAAATCGAGATACTGTGAAGAGCATTGAGTGATAAAATCACATAATGAAAAAAAAACTTTTGTTTTATGAACTTCTGAAATCCTAGTCAGAGTCAGATAAAAGCAGGGGAGGAAGTATATGAGATATGATGGTGTGGAATGCAAACTGGAGACTGAGAGGTTGAGCAAGAATCTAATTGAACTAGTACAGACTTTCTGGCGAGGCTTGGAAATCCCATTATTTACCATGATTACTCATTATAGACTGTCCAAAGCAATGGATCCAAATGGCTTGTTCTTCCAATAACAATCGATATTATCCTTTAACTTAGATTGACTCACTCTTTTAGTCCTGAAATCAGATCCTCAAACTCACCATGAGCATCACTTTTTTAAGTGATAGGAACAGCTGGGGGTGTTGAGATTCACAGATGAGCAGACTGACATCACATTTATCTTATCTCATTATCCTAATGTTGTAAAATTTATCCCACTGTCATAAAATGTAAAATTTTTGAATTGAGTATGAGCAATTCTAATTGCATAATAAATGCATTAGATGTATACAACATACAATACATTATTAAAAAAATAAAAATACTTTGAGTAAAGCATTGCCACTCTTTAGAACACACATTAAATTCGGCATGAAATGACAATTCACCCAATCTTATTTCTAAATGCATGTTATTGATCTTATTTTAAACAATCGATGCACAGGTTTAACTGTCACCGTCCCACCTGTGGGACGCTTGGCACTCTTTTTTTTGTTGTCCTTTTTCTCTATCAAATCTTTTAGTAATTATCATAAATCATATATCATTTGAAAGCTTAGAAGCCCAAGATTCATCCTGTGAAAACCATTTTGAAATCGCACATTGCGTTACCATGGAAATGGAACTAGCATAACTTTTTGATACTTTAATTCTTTAAAAAAATTTGCGATAATCTGCTGATTTTCTTCTTTAAATAGAGACCAACCTTATATCTGTATTCCAAAGTGTTCATAAATTACAACAATTTAAGTTTGGATATGCCTATTTTAAGAAATGGGGGGTGACAGTTAAGGGGTTAATCAGGGGTTCAAGTGCATAGCGCTGAAACCCTATTGTAATTGTTAGAATGGCCAAGGATCAGCAATCTCCACGTAAAACTGTTTGGGCAAACCAAACCGTAAGTCATAGAGACTTGAAACTTGAAGGGACGGTAGTACTCACATCATCTACAACGTCACCAAGGCTCACCCCAATCGGCCTGACAGGGCCGCTACAGCGGTCAAAAGTATGAAATCTCTCATAACTCCTAAACCGTTAATCACAGGCTCAATCCTTGTTGGAATCCTTGGCTCATGCCGGACAAAATGCGAAATTTTCGGGTATTTTGGATTTTTTGAGAGCCTTACTTTTGGGAACTAATCCTAGAATTTTCGCCCGATCGGAACCAAACCAGAGCAGAAAGATTCTCCAGAGAGTGAATATCAATAATTATCACAAAAAAAAAAACAGCTGAACTTTCAACTCACCATCGCAAAGGGACGCCAAAATGTTCGAAAGGGACCGGGCTGCTTTTACTAAAATGCTTATAACTGTTGAACGGAATGAGATATCTTCATCAGACTCAGAACACATATGTAAGAGCTGAATCTTAGGTCACATGAAAAGAATTGTGGAGCTTGGCTACTTTGTGGCACTATAAGAGGGAAAAAACAAAAATAGCTATAACTACGCAACCCTTTGTCCTATCAACATGAAAATTGGTATGCACAGTATTGGACCAAAATGCCACAAGCGTCTATAAGGACATTTGCATATCTCAAAAAACATGGCAGCCATAGGCCAAGAAGTTTGAGCACCTATTAGACAAGGTTAATGGAGGTCGATCGTAACAAAACTTAGTGGGTCTGTTTGACTCACAGCCCTAAAGGTCTGTGAGAAATTTTAAAGAAATTGGCCACTGCGGGGGCGATATCGCATTTTTCCAGGACGTAAATGATTGTATATTTTGTGTGGTTTTTCACACATACATGGAGAAAAAGATCAGAGATGGAGATCGAAACACAGCAGACACTATAACAGTCATAATAGTTAAAAATCTTATTTCTATCGTAAAATTACCTGATCTGCCAAAAATGCTTCTTTGCTAAAAAAATGTGTAATGTCTTATATATGTAATTATATTGCCGGACTTCTCCAATCATTTTGTCAGCTTAAACCCCACCTCTTTCTTACAATTGACTGCAAGCTCGCAATTAGATCTGCCTCCATCCAATTCGCAACTACCCAATCCATTTTACACGGATATAGTTCACAATATTGAAGAAAGAATCTGTTGCTACTTATGTTACATCACAGCTTTTATGAAATAAACCATCTAAACTAGCTTGGACCATGTAAAACTATTTAAGCTATCATATTTCCACAATGTAAAAAAAAAAATCCATCCTATTTCAACTGAAACACTTTACTTCAGTTGCTGCCTTTATTTTTTAAGTATAATCAACTGGTTGTACAAGTCATTTCAACTTAAATTACATTAAACCAACTTGAAAAAAATCTAATTGCTCAACTTATTTTGATGAGTTAAAGTAATGTAAAAGCATAAGCTGCCATAACTTTTTTTACAGCAACAGAGAATACATTTGGAGTATCAGGTTTAATGGATAGGTGGATGGATGGGGCATTTATATAGCGATTTACAATCATATGAGGGGATCTCTCCTCAACCACCACTAGTGTGCAGCATCCACTTGGATGATGCGACGGCAGCCACAGCACAACGGCACCAGTGCGCTCACCACACACCAGCTACAGGTGGAGAGGAGAGAGAGTCATAGAGCCAATCAAGTGGATGGGGATTATTAGGAGGCCATGATTGACCAGGACCAGTGGAGGGAATTTGGCCAGGACACCGGGGATACACCTCTACTCTTTATAAGAAGTGCCATGGGATTTTCAATGACCACAGAGAGTCAGGACCTCGGTTTAACATCTCTTCCGAACGACGGTGCTTTTTACAATATAGTGTCCCCATCACTACACTGGGGCGTTAGGAGCCACACAGACCACAGGGTGAGCACCCCCTGCTGGTCTCACTAACACCTCTTCCAGCAGCAACTTATGGCGCTTTTCCACTGCGTGGTACGACTCGACTCGGCACGGCTCAGCTCAGTTTGCGTTTCCACTGCAGTTTAGTGCCGCTTTAGAGTGGGCTGGATTATTCACATGGAAAAAGCAAGGAAAAAGCAAGAAAATAGGCACCCGACATCTTCTGTTGCTATGGAGTTTAGTGTTGCTAAGCCTATAATCTATTTCTTAGCACTAACTGTCTGTCCTATCTCTGTTTTTTTTTTCTTCTTTTGCCAGACAAATAGCTTTGTGCTACTGTTCCACCTGTCTTATGCATGTGTTGCCATGGAGGTACTCTGGTCGTCACAGCAACAGCAGAGGAGAAGAAACGACTCAGGAAGGGCAAGCGCGTGCTGTTTCTTTACATCCCACAGATTCCCCAGAGGACCATGTCCAGTTGCTGACAGAGTGTTCAAGAATGAGTGAGGAACTGACCCAAACCCTCACACACTGGACCTATGTGTTCTTCACAGGAAGGTCATAAGAGAGGCCACCAAAGAAAGGCTTGTATGTGATCTTTCTTCCCTTCGGGCTTCCTATCTTTCTCTTTCTTAAAGATAAAGAGAAGATTTGTTTAATCCAAAGCTCTTTTACGGTCAAAATTATTCATGCCATGGTAAAGTTAACGTCCTCTCAGTCACATTTTGTTATTCCACACTAAGACAGGTTTTTGTACTCATGCTCCTTTATTTAGAAACGGAAAAGTCTGGACTAGGATTTTCAGGGCCACACAAAATGGAAAGTGTGAATGAAAGTACCAGAAGAAAACAAAATGACGAACAGGAAAAAAAGCAATAGCTGGTAGGTGCAGAGGAAAAGAAAAGAGAGGAAAAAGAAATGGATGGCCAAAAAAGAAAAAAACCTGAGTGATAAATTGAGGCGTTACCTGTGGTATTGCTGAGGAGAGGCAGACGGGGAGGTAGAAGGTTTTGGAAGCCGAGGGGAATACGGATGATATGGAGTCTTCTTCAGCGCCTGAATCAGATTGTGTCTGTAGTCAGGATCAATAGACCAGAGAGAACCCTTTCCTATGCTCTGAAACACAAAAAAGACAAAGTACTGTCATGATACATCTTTAATCTTTCGATATCTTTATCAAGATTAACAATATTACGAGATACTTTATAGCAAGGGTGGGCCACTCTGACACTCTAGATCCACTTTCCAGCAGCGTTTAGCTCCAACCCTAATCAAACACACCAAAGCAATCCAATCAAGGTCTTCATGATTTCTAGAAAACTATAGGCAGATGAGTTTGATCTGGGTTGGAGCCAAGGACCACCCCTAGAGTGAAGTGGACCTCAACTTGTCAGTGTTGTGGAGTAACTAGTTACATGTAACGGAATTACGTAAATTAATTACAAAAAAGTAACTGTAATCCATTACAGTTACTGAGGAAAAATCATGTTTAATTGAATTACAGTTACCTATGAAAATGTCAACGATTAGGCCTACAAAGGGGGTTACATCTCAATATTTTCTGCAAAAAGCTAGGATATGTTGAATAATATTAATTTGTTGCTTTGCCTGTTTTTGATGTGCACAATGGCTCCTGCCATTTAATGGCTGTTCAGTAAAGCGATGCTATTCTGAAACTTTTGATTGGTTCTCGTTTGCAGTGCACCACGTCTCTCAATTACATCTATCCAAATTGCCACTGAAATCTCACATAAAAAAATCTCACTGAAAACACATAGCCTAAGAAAGAAGCAGCACAAAGCACTGTATAGATCCTTGCACACTGAGTTCACAGAAATTGGTGGTCTTCTTTTTAATATGTGGCTCTAGTATCTCTAGCAAAGCATCGTCATCCTGAAGTAAACTTTGAATCGCCCGTGATAATCCTACTGCTCTTTAATAATGAAGGGGGACTCTCCTTCCTCTCTATATCTCAGGATTGGATGGACCCAATATTTCCTTTTTTTTCTTTTCAAGAAGCGAGAGGACAACAAAATCATCCTCACTGCTTGAAGACTCCATTTAGTACTGTTTTGCCAATTTTTTTCGCAACAGATTAATTAATACGCATTGGACTCAGTGTGCAACAAATTTTTAGGATGACGAATATGAAAAAACACAGGAAAATTTCGGACTCGGTGTGCAAGGAGCTTTACTTGCAAGGTGGGCTAAAATGGAATTGGTACTAAAGTCTTAAAGAGCCCTACTCTAAAAGCAGATTTGAAATAGACTCACTTTAGCCTGATGCTCTCAAGAACCTTCATAGTTTGTTTTGAAATAAACTGTACATTATCACTGAGTACATTTTTGCAAAGTATTGAGAAAAAGTGGGGAGGAGGATTAGACTTAGCACTCGAGACCCTCGTTGTCTAGTGAATACAGAGGCACCTTTAAAACTGCCTCAACAGGCAACACTGGCATATATTTTTAGATCAAAGAAGCCGTTCTCCACCTAATTAAGCTGTCTGCCCTCCATCGGGGGCTTCCAGTGCCACATTTCACTTTACCAAAAAACACAACTCACACAAGGCATGAAATTCAACCCGTGCCGCTTTGATCTCGGCTTTCGAATTTAGCACAAAAATAAGTGAGACGGGATGATGAAAGCACACTGATATTATCGTAGTTACAGAACAGACGCTATAGCAATGATCAGCAGTGTTTACCGACACACTACATAAGACAATTAAGGGAAAGGTTTGATTAGACGGGCCAACAAGCTGGCAATTGCCAAAAGGTTGGGGGAAGCAACTTTATTTCATGTATCTATGTGTGTGTTTGTGTTTTTCACACTGCTGGAGGAGCCACTGGCCCAGCGTGCCGTTTCCACCAGGGGTGCAGGGTAATTCAAATACACTCCCCATGACTTCATTCATAACTTCCCCCACCAGTCTTCCATCTGCCCTCAATTAGCTATCAACAGGCCTGCAAAACAACATCACAGACTGACGTACATCATTCACCAGCACGGCATCCGGGTACGGCTCCAGCTCACCTGCCTGCCAGAGCCGCACGACCCCTCTCTATAGGAGACAGAGGAGGAGCAGACATGCACCTGTGGTTTCACTGGTCTCCAAGGCAACAAGTAGAAGAGAGGGATGGTTGGAGGGTTTGGCACGAGTATCTCAGTCTACATGGAGACAATGATGGCGCTTTAAAACCAGCCCAGACCCATGTGCTAATCTTTCCCAACCGTGGTAAATGAGGAAAGCAGATCTCTGCCACAGACTCTACGCTCAGAGAGCCAGAATACATGATTGCCTATGTTTAAAAGAGAGGGTTTCTACTCATGGCTTATAAAGTATACACACATTTTCACGAATGTTAAAGGGGTCAAATCATGGAAAACTGGATTTTCCATTTTTGGAAAGTAAGCTGCAATAATGGCTTCTTCAGAAATCCTCATGGTTCTATTGACACAACCTCATTTAGACATGACACCCTATATATTATATTAATGCTTATTCAGTATTTAGGTCAACCCTAGTATGAAGTACACCTGCACAAAGAGAGTGGTCAAAGTTTATCTGGTTAGAAGTTAGTCCCTCCTGCAACCATCACTGTAAGAAAATGTACCGTAAAAAATATGGTAGCAACATTTTAGTTTTTTACAGATTTAACTAAATTTACATTTAAAAACCGTATTTCATTAACTGATATAAATGTTAATACACCAACCTACTGAAGTATTGAAATCTGTTTTGTACCATTGTAATACACTGATAACCAACAAAAGCAGGTGGTGAAAAGAAAGTCACATGATGAACCAAAGCCCATCACAAGCAGCTTTTAAATACTAAGATATATAGAAGGTGCACAGTGTCATTCACACAAACACTAAACAACATCATGGTAACACACATGAAACTGAAATAATGCAATGGACATTAATTTAACAACATTAGATGTAACATACAACTCTAATGTACACAACTGATAAGAAAAAAACTAAGAAATAGTTACAAGAAAAAATCAAATGTGAAATGCAAAGCAGGGAATTCTGGGAATGTCAATTTACGTTTTTTCACTGTAACGTATACGTTCTTTTTCCACTTTCATAAACTGTATATTACCGTAAAATTACATGTAATGTCCAATACAGTTTTTCACTGTATATAGTAGGGGAATTTACCGTTAAGCAATTAATAGATTTTTACTGTAGCATTTTTACGGTTACAATCGTTAAAATCACAGTCTTTTTTTTTTTTTTACAGTGCACAACATCTGGACCTGAAAAGCATCTCCATCTACAGTGATTCAAAGGTTGCCACGTATTCTTACAAAATAGAAAACAGCAAATTACTCATTACATGATAGTAGATGTTTTTGACAAACTCTTTAAAAGTATGTAATGGACAGTCGCCACTTTAAGGATTTGGGACTGTCTGTGTGCATTATTTTTGTGCCATCAACCAAACAGCGTTCTTGCAACACAATTTTGCAGCTTTCGGAGTGTTTAGCCACATGGCTTTTACAGCTCACGTGATTGGCTTAAAAAAACCTGGAAGAAGAATGACTTTACATGAGCCTGCTTTGGAGGGTTGTGTGCCAGCTAAACTGAGACGATTGGGAACATTAACAAAATGTTTTCTCCAAGCATCATGGACACCCCTGGGTTAATAATTATAACATTTGCATACAGAATACTTAAAGGTACAGAAACAAAAAACAGGCTGCTTAATTAAAAGTGTCAGACAGAAGGTAAAAACGGTCATGTAAATTAGATTTTGGCTTAAGCAACCTTGACTAACATTATAAGTGGACTTCAGGGGGAAAAAAAGTGTAAATTATGATTCCTTTAAAACACAGACACAGAGCACTGAAAATTGCATATGTTTAGTACTCAAGCAAAAAATGAAGTGCGGACACATTTGTTATCTTTAACCAGTGGTGTTTGGCTGGATCTTTGACGACTGAGACTTGTAAGAAAGCTGGGACTGATCTATCTCAGCATTCAGTGTCTAAACATCTGCTATTGAGTAACACACTGTGAATCATTATACTTAGTCTGCTGTTAAACCACTGGTTTGCCCTTCTCCTTCACACACCCTTCTGAAGTGTGTGAGATTTAATACCATTTTTAAACAAATCAAAAGAGGCTATTAATGATTTAAGTATATTGAGAGACCAACATATCTTTTAAGTAAAAAATCTTGACAAAAAAAGAAAAAACATTTCCCCGTTTCAATCAGAGTGGAAAATGAAACTAAATTAAACACATACATTCAAATTTAATTCAGTTAATTCCCTACTTATCACAACCCATATATATATATCCCAGCCTATGTTGCCTATATATAACAGTCTACATTAGAAGGGTTGTATGTCAATTTCAGTAGATTAGTTTGGTCTTCTGCCAGAGATTTACTTTATTTTGTACTCTGTGAAACGTGATACAACTGGTCAAGCAACCTGAACTTTACCCATCAAAACAGATCACTGTGCTTCATGCCACTTCTCTGAAATGCTCCCACATTTTACCCACACACACATATACAGATCTACTCACACACATAGCAACGCAGCCAATCAGTTTCGCTGTTGCTACAGAAACAGCATGCTTTTCATGTCAACTACAGCTAGGTTGCTATGGGAATACATATACATGGAAAACTCTTTTGGTCGTAGTTAAGAACCAAATGACAGGATGACGGCTAGGACAGGTACAAACACACTCTTACAGGCACACACATACATAATAATACAAACACACTCTGCCAGAGCAAACGGTGCTATTTGTTAATCTTTTCATCTGTTTTGATGTCAATGTACGATTTTAACGTTATTTGTCATATCTAAACAAAAAAAGTTTTGATTTATTCATTTTGATTATAGTCACGCATTGATTACAGTTGTACTATATTTTGATTATAATCATGGACTTGTTTACATATCCACAGCCCACATTCATAAAATCTCTTGGAAACAAACCATAATAATAAGCCTTTGTTGACTTAGAACTCATTTGTCATAAATTCATCTTGGACTTTGATTTAAGGTTAATACTGCTTTAATAGGTCAATGACAAGCTGCTCGTTTGTACTGTCCTATTTATTCATTTATTTAAAAATATTCTAAAATGCAATTCATACATAGAGAGACATTTAACGTCTGTATAAAATTTCATTTTTGTTTATTTTATTTTGTCTATTCTGTCTATTATTGTTAATTTTTTATTTTTTTTTTGTGGGGGACAATGTGAAAAAATCTTAAGTAGTTTGGCATAACCTCTTATTACCACCTAGAGAATAAAAAATATTTTAACAATACTGCTTCACTGCTATTAATATTTGAAAAACTTTTGTCTGCAAAGTCAATCATAGAAAAGACCCCTGCAGACCCTAACGACTGTGCGAAATATCATATAATTTGACCTTTTTATGACAGGTTTGGTTGTAAAAATGTCATGTGCTAATGATATTTATAAATGAATAATTCATTAATTTGTTTTTATTCATAATTGAATCATTAAATTTACATTTATATTAAAAATATATTTAAAAACTTGGAAATAATTATTTAGATGATGTGTTCCAATTTTCCAATGTGCAAGGAAAATGTTATTAGCATAGCACAACTAAAAATAATTTAATTGAAACAGTTACTGAAACTGGTATAAAAATTGTCAAATTCATATGACAACTTCATGAATACAAATAGTACATTTCGAAGAAGTTGGCAAATGTGTTTTAAAATGTGTTTTTTTTTCTTTATTATGAACCCAATTGGCCCAATAATGAAGGTAAAAGCTAAGTTTTCATAACTCCTAGACTGTAAATGGAAAGGAAAAGCATTCAAGAACATGTGAACGCCTCTGGGTTAAGTATTTAAAAGCCATCAGGATGATGAACTATTGATGGAAAATCACTCAGGAAGATGAAAGTGTGCGTTCCAATAAAACAAGCGGCTCTGTTACATCTTGATCCTCAGTTAACCTCAGAGAAACACAAGCCCTCACCTGACTGCGATCCTTATCCACCTTCTTGAAGCATTTGTTTAGCGACAGATTATGACGCACTGAATTCTTCCAGCCAGTGGGGGCGCTGGCGAAGTAGGGGAAGTGCTCCAGTATCCAGCCATAGATGTCTTTGACAGGAAGTCGCTTGGAGGGAGCGTCCTCTATTGCCATGAAGATGAGGCAGCTGAAGGAGTAGGGCGGTTTGTGGCTGGGACCCGTGGACAGGTGGTAGGGTGGCTCGCTGGGCTCAGGGGAGGACGACGGCGAGGAAGAGGGCTCGCGGCCACCGTTAGCGTCCTGCAGGGGGCTGACGCTGCGCAGGCCCGAGTGGCCCAGGCTGGTCAGAAGATCCGTGCTCTCGTGCAGCCAGCTGAGGCTGGTCAGCTCCTCGTCCTCGGCCCGGCTGAGGGAGGCAGACAGGGCCAGAGAGAGGTCAGCTGCCTCGGTGTCCTGGTAGAGCTGACTCAGACCCCGCGCCACGCTCCCGCTGCTGGGGCCCTCGGCCTTCTTCCCTGGGGGCATGACCACTGGACCCATGCAGCCCTCGGCTCCTGCAGAGACACGAGAAAACACAACACTGTGAAGTGATTGATGGTTTTTATGGGGAAAAAATTGAAAAGGCTTAATTGGAGCTCTTATATAGTTTGCATCTGTGGACAAGCAGTTCACACACAATTGCAATTTTTGTAATAAAAACTGTGATTTAAAATGAGTTAAAGGTCTGTTTGTTTTGTTTTGGTTATGTTTGTGCTTGTTTGTAGGGCTGCACAATTCGGCCTTTTTTTATTTTTGTATTATATATCAATATGACTATAATAATAATAATAACTAACTAAAACTATTAAACAAAATAAGAAATTACGACTGCAATATTTCACTATAAAATAGAGCTATTTAAAAATATATATATAATTAAAATAATTTAAAACTGCATTTAAATAGGACCCAGGTTTTATATAGATTATATATCAATTTAAGTCAATAATAATGTTAAAAAGTTAGATTTTTTTTAATTATTATTTCACAGTAAACTAAAATATTTAAGTATTTAAAATGACGTATTTAAGAAAAATAGAATTATAATTATTATTATTCTTAAATAAAATATTAAACAAAATATTAAATATTAATTGGAAATAAAATAATAGTATTTAACAACAATAATATTTATAGAAGTCAATTACTTTCTTTTCAATTGTTAAATCCTCAAGCTATTTCCTGTCAGGAAACTGCAAGAAGCTCTTAAAGCTCCTCTTTTTTAACAACTGTTTATAAGGAGCTTCTCATCACAAGTTTGTGAGGCATTTACTCTGAGAGTCGCTATGAGAGACAGAAAACACAGATCATAAGCTGCTCATGCTCATGTGTTTTACTATGAAAAATGCAGCAAATATATCCACTTAAACAAATCACAGTCTTTGCGATTTGATAACTGCACAAAGTCATATCGTAATTTTGGTTTTATAAAAAATAAGCCTCCAGTACTACAGTAAACATGAACTAAAATAAAAGTTTGTCTGGTTTGCAGGATCAACAAATACATGAGGCTAAAATCACTGCATGTTAAGTTAATCTCTTATATTTGTAGATATTTGTTCCCATGAAACAAATGTGTACTCTGTGAACTCCCAAAGAGAAATGAGACTGAAAAATCAGCATGAGAACGGGAATCCACTTCCATTATTTCAGAGGTGAGATCAGCAAACAGGAAAAAGAAGACAGAGTTGAGACGCTCTCAACAAATGCATTTTACAAATGCAGTTTATTCAAGCTTAAGCTACTCAAATTCAAAATTCATAGTATATTAGTTTCAATGGAGAAGCTTTATAGAGTTGACAAACTACTTCAGCTAAACTCACCAGTCAAATTAGCAGCATTTATGAACATTTGTTTGTAACTGAGCACAGGCATTAGACTTTTAGGTCTCCAGAGGAGATGAATAACAACTTGAATCCTGTCTGTTCAATTCAAAGGCTTCAGAAGAATTGAAATATGGCATACAAGTCATATGGGCTACTGTTTTTTGTTGTTGTTGTTGTTGTTTTAGGACCTTGGCAGTACAAATGAGCATTCACTTTCCTTCTATGGAAAACGGATGTTCATTCATTCTGTGTTCCACAGATGAAAGGAATGATATGGGGTTAGAATGAAATGAGGGTGAGTAAATGATAATACAGTTTAAAGTGATATAAACAACATTGCTTTAAAGTGTTAAGAATATTGTATTTTATAAATAAATAAATACATAAATCACTCCCCTTTAACTTTTCTACCAAAGTTTAATTGCTGGGTTAGAATTATAAGCCAAAGCAAGTTAAAGCATTAAGTGAACTTGATCCAATCACTCAAAAAAAAGAAGAAAATCAAGTTCAGAATCCTGGATACTCAAAAGATGGTGAAGAAAGTCATTGTGACGAGTTAAATGGAAACAAAGATAAGGCAACTCTGTTTCAGAGTAAAAAAGAAAACATAACTGTGAGATAAAAGAAACAGGCTAAGCCCGCAATTGTGCAGTTTATAGTCACATTGTGAGTTATAAAGTCATTGTGTGAAACACAATTGCACTTAAATATAAAGTTGCAATTAGGAGAAACAGTCACAACTGTGAGTTGATTTCTCACAATTATGGGAAATAAAGTCACATCCATGAGATATAAACTCACAATTGCGAGAAATAAAATATCTGACTTAATTTCCCATAATTATAAGAAGTTGTGAGATGCAAAGCCACAATCACCTTTCTTTTCAGGCTTCCAAACAAAAATGATATAACAATGATGCAACCTTTTTTATAATGGAAAATCTGATCCATTCTCTTGCAGCAGCGTGTTTGTGTGTGTGTGTGTGTGTGTGTGTTTGTTTGAAGTTTCAGGGCGGGAAGGTTAGCAGGAGGTTGGATTTTAGTGGAAGTAATCCTGGCGCTATCGGAAGATGCTTAAAATCTAAATACGAACTTATCACACACTGCCCAAGTCACAGTAGGAAATCCAGTTAATCTCTCCCTACAGTGTTACCCATCACTTTTAACTCGCTCTCTGACACCCATGCCAACATGTATCCACACACAATTATACATACGCCGCGCGTGCATGTCGAGCGACGTGCCAGGGGCAGCACCCCCTGATAAGGCGAATCAATCAGTCAATAACAGCATATGCAACTGAGCGCTCCTTGGAAAATGCACAGTCACGCCTCAGGGCTACTTTTGACACTCGTGCTCACATGTCAAAGCAGCAGCTCTCTTCACTCGCACTGATTGACAGCTGACAGCTAGCGCTGCATGACGAATACAGCATCTGTATCCACGGCAACGGAACGAGAATATTATCCAGCCTCCCAATCTGGAGCAGAGATTCCCTGGGGTCAGTCGAGGCATGGCTGCGTTTATAAGGCAGATTATACAAATGTGGACGGTCGTAAACATAGCGAACTGACACATCAAACATCAAGGGTAACAATGTGAGGTTGTTTTCTAGGAACATATAAACGCACATATATACACCCGATATGCAGGTTTGCTTTTTGTGTATCTGTGGTGGCGCTGCCACAAAACATTACATCTGACAGAAAAGGGCCAGCTAATTTTATTGTTGCTATGACAACAAACTACTCGAACAGGGTACCGTTGGGGCTGCCAGTGAACTTCCCTTACACTCAAGAATCAATTACATTTTACCGTTCACAAACAGAAAGTTTGCAACCGGTTTTGCTTAAGCTCTTGAGGAGCGCTTTGAAATGAGGGGAATTCAGCAAGATATTTCAGGTGAGAGTTGTGACAAATGACCAAAGAGATCTGAAAACTGGAAACTGCAAACAACAGCTCGCCCGACTGCCCATTAGCGCCTCAAATCTAACAGATATTTCAGCTCAGTACAAAAGAGACACTGCAAGCTTGACCGCTTTAGTTACAACAAATGTACAAAAAGTACCATGGTATTATTATGATGTTCTTTGATGTACCTTGGATAACTATGGATATACTATGGCATACAAATATTATAACTATGGATTAAATTAAAATCAAATTTAATTTATTCATTTAAGCTTTCGCCTTTTGCCTACTGGCATAGTTGCAAATAAAAAAGTAAATTTTTGACTTTTGATTTATTTAGTTTTTATTTAGTTTTATTTTACTTCACAAAGGGAACAATGGCCATTACACCAATCAAAAAAGATGAATTTTGTAATATGATGCAGCTAGCATTAAAAAAACATCACTGACCAGGCTGAAATCAATATATTATTACACACACACACACACACACACACACACACACACACACACACACACAGTTATGCTTATAAGTTTACATACCCTTTGCAGAATATGCAAATATGTTAATAATTTTAACAAAATAAGAGAGCTCATGAAAAGTGCATGGTTTTTTTTATTTAGTACTGTCCTGAATAAGCAATTTCTCATAACAGATGTTTATATATACTCCACAAGAAAAAATAATAACTGAACTTATAAAAATGACCCCGTTCAAACGTTTAATGAATCTTAATACTTTGTGTTGTTTCCTGGATGATCCACGATGTATCCATATGTATGTATATATATGTATGTATGTATGTATGTATATATGTATATGTATGTATATGTATGTATATATATGTATATATATATGTATTTATATATATATATATATATATATTCACACACACACACACACACATATATAATTTTGTTTGACTTTTTTTGTACACCTGTTAGACCTTACACTAATTCTTAACAAAAACTAAACCAAAAAAAATACTACACAAAACAAAGCAAACAGAGGTGGTAAATATGACCAAAATATTATATCATATCTTTTTTCATGATAATATAAATTTTTGCTTTAAATAAGGTTTTTATGATATTAAAATATTTGATACCATTGAAATTTCAAAATTCTTCATCAATGTTGGTATCACAAAAAACGAAAAAATAACAAAGAAATGAAATAGACCTACGTAAAAAATTTCTAGCAATAGAAATAATAAATACTACCTAAATTGTATGTCATGTAAAAAAAAAAAAAAAAAAAAAAAAACTGAATAGTCTGACAGTAAGTTCCCCTCAGACATGCATTCATATAAACTCCTACCCCTAAATGAATTGCGATTTGTTTAGCATCTCAACCGATTTGAATCGTCACATATTTGAATCGATTTTCAACCAGCTCGCAGTTAATCGTTACATCCCAATTGTTTAACATTAATGACACAGATGGCAGCAGGTTTATTAGACTGCTGTCACTTTAAGACCAAATAAACAGACCTAATAAATTGATACACGTTTTCTTTCTCAACTATTTAGGTTCACTTAAGACACAAACGAGACGAGAAGCGGCTGTATGTGCACAGGTTTCATGTGCGTGCACTCAAACCATCTCAATGCGAGCATATACCAAAATATTTGCTGCTTATTGTAAAAAGGGTAAACAAAACCATAAAATCAAAGGAAAAAAAAACATCAAAGTGATTTACCAGACAAAAGGGGACAAAAGACTTTTCCTATAGATGAAAACACCATGAGACATAAAAATTATTTGTTTAATGCGTT